AAAATCCAAACATTTATTTTATGAATATCATCAATGTGTGGAAATATAATTATAATTTGTTATTTTAACATTGCAGTCAAACAACCCATGTAAAAATTGATGAAAACAATGCATGAAAAAATAATTTCCCATTTTGTCAGTGTAACTGTTCTCATCAGTATAGTTTGCATACAGAACAGCTAAATAACACTCCAATAGGATTCGATTTAAATGCCTTGAATTTAAATAAAATGTTTTCAACCGAACAATACACCCGAAGAACACATACAAACGTGTAAAATAGATTTTATTTAACTAAAATCAGTTTTCTTCCATTGCTCAATTTGAACTGACACCCTCAGAGGTCCAAATATAGGTGAATAATACACGTTGGTAAAATTATTATTATCATTTTCCAATTCTAATTTGTCAGTTTGATGTCAGCATTTTTCTTCTGCTTCTCAGTTTTATTCGCGAGATAATCAAAACAATGTTTTTTATTATTATGATGCTTGTGTGAACAACGCAAATTTGGATCAATAAACAGTGATAGTGAATAGAACTATTCCGTCATTTTTAAAAAATGTGACTATAAAGCAAATGGCACCGTCAGTATTCCACAATAAGTCGCATACCTCCTTTAAAATGAATTCGAAGCTGAACATTATCATATTTTTTAAAAAATCTCCGATTGCATGAATTGGCTCTCGATTGAATTTCCGAAAACCTATTTTATGTTGCTAGGAAATCGTGTTTACATGCACCCGGACTCGCCGAACACGGGTGCACACTGGATGCGACAGGAGATTTCTTTCGGAAAATTAAAGCTGACAAACAATAAAGGGGCGTCCAACAACACGGGACAGGTGAGACGTTATCCTGACATGATTTCAGTGCATTTATTTCCCCAGATGTATCTTTTTCTCGTCATCGCGTATACCAAACGTCTGATGCACGCTTTTGGCGCAGATGGTGGTCCTGCAATCTCTGCACAAGTACCAGCCGAGGCTCCACGTGGTGGAAGTGAACGAGGACGGCACGGAGGACTGCAGCCAGCCGCGCCGAGTGCAGACGTTCACCTTCGTCGAGACGCAGTTCATCGCCGTCACCGCCTACCAGAACACCGACGTAACAGCGCCGATTCCGGAAAATGAAACACGATTCATGTTGATTTACATTTCTACCGGTGCGACAATGAACGCTGCGCGCACGTTTCCCTCCAACAGATTACGCAATTGAAGATTGACCACAACCCCTTTGCCAAAGGATTTCGGGACAACTATGACACGTAAGATTCGGAACTAATCTTGTTGAAAATACAGTCCGTTTTAAGTGGCAGATCAGCTGCCATTTTGATGCAAAATGTTCTTATTTATAGGAATGATTTTAATCATCGGCTTGGATTTGTTTTTCCACTCCACCGATAATTACTTGATATTTAACACCATTAATTAAGATGCCATTATCAGTTCTCCGCGCTGATATGTATTGATCTGGCATGTACCTAATCAAGTGGCCAGTGGTTGCATCTTAAGATGCTGGTGGCATTAAGATTTTTGCGCTAAATATTATTTGCACAATTTTTTTTTTTTTGGGGGGGGGTGGATTGGACGTTGTATGTGAAGGCAAAATAATGAAAAAAGTTGGAAGATGACTGATAAAAAATACAATGTAATCGCAATTTCAGTATTGAGCGTAGCTGAGTGGATATTGTGTGTACCTAATCAAGTGGGCAGTAAATGTATCTTAAGAGACTTGCGAGAAGCCAAAACGCTAAATATTAGCGTGATTTATTGGAAAAAAAAAAGGATTCAGAAAACATTGAAACTATTGTGGATTAATACGTAATGACAATCATAATAATATTATGATTTTATAGATCATAACAATATGAATAAATTGTGTTCAATTATTAAACGATATGAAAATAACACTGCTTCTACAACCACAACGAATAATAATATCATCCATCCATTTTTTAATTCCTTTATCGTCACGAGGGTTGTGGGCGTGCTGGAGCCTTTCCCAGCTGTCTTCGGGCAGTAGGCGGGGGACACCCTGAACTGGTTGCCAGCCAGTCGCAGGGCACACATAGACGAAGAACCATCCACACTCAAAATCACACATACGGACAATTTAGAGTGTCCCATTAAACTGTCCTGCATGTTTTTTGTTTTTTTTTTGGAACGTGGGGAAAAAACACAGTACCCCGAGAAAACCCACACAGGCACGGGTGACATGCAAACTCCACAACATATCATATTAAAAAAAAAAAAAAAGATTCAGAAAAGAAGTCGCTGATGGTGTAGTGGTTCACTCACCTGACTTGTGTGCGGACAGCGTGGCAACGGTTCCCACTCAGTGACAGTGTGAATGTGGGTGTGATTGGTTGTTTGTCTCCGTATGTGCCGTGGTACTGACTGGCGACCAGTTCAGGATGCCGTCCGCCTTCCAACCAAAGTCAGCTGGGATGGGCTCGGGCAACTCCCCGCGAGCCTGTTCAGGATAAGCGGTGTTGAAAATGGATGATTTGAAAATTAATTAAATCATTAAAATGATTAATTGAATTATAACGATATGTTATTGATTTTTTAAAACATTTTATTCGTATTATAAGAATGAAAAATAGCAAATAAATATTTAAAAATATGTATTTAGAATAATAATAATAAAATTATGATTATTATTATTATGACATCATTTCAGCTTTTGTGTGTGGCTGCACCTAATGAGGTGTCCATCGCATCGATTCCACGTGTTGCACGTTGGAGCCCGCAGCAGCCGCCTTGTGGTCATTTTGCTTGGACGTGTTTGTTTTCCAGTGTGTACACAGGCTGCGACATCGACCGCCTCACTCCGTCCCCGGGCGAGTCCCCCCGCTCGCAGTTCATGGCCGGGCCCCGCTACGCCGTGCACACCCCTTTCCTCCAGGAGCAGTTCGTCAGCTCCTATGCCAAATCTCGATTTCATCCCAGCGTTGCGGCGGCGGCTGCTGGCGCCGACCGCGGCGTGCCCCTCGGCAACAGCTTGCAGAGCGACGAGCCCCCCGTGGGCGGCGCCCCGCAGCGCTGGTTCGTCTCCCCTGCCAACAACCGACTGGACTTCGCTGCCTCGGCGTACGAGGCCGCCGACTTCGCCGGCAACGCCGCCACCCTGCTGTCTTATGCCGCGGCCGGCGTCAAGGCGCTGCCCTTGCCCGCGGCAGGTTGCTCTAACCGGGCACTCGGCTATTACGCGGACCCTTCCGGGTGGGGGGGACGCACCCCGCCGCAGTACTGCGGTGGAGTCGGCGGCAAAGCGACCTCCGTGTTCCCCTGCTGGCCCCCCAACTCCATCGGGGGGAGGAGCAACTGCTTGGCCGAAGAGGGCGACTCGGTCCCCACGCAGCGCTCGCCTGTCGCCTCGGAGGAGGCCAAGGCCAAAGATGTGACCTCAGAGTCGGGGTGGATCGAGACTCCGTCGTCCATCAAGTCGATCGATTCCAGCGACTCGGGAATTTTCGATGCGGTCAAGCGGAGGCGGATGTCTCCCTCCTCCACCCCGGTGCCGGACACGGCGTCCCCTCTTAAGGCGGACCTCCTGAGGGAGGACAAGACCTGTTCCAAGGACATTGGCTACTACAGCTTCTACTCTACCAGCTAAATCAATCAATCAATCAATCAATCAATCAATCTATCTATCTATCTATCTATCTATCTATCTATCTATCTATCTATCTGTCTGTCTGTCTGTCTGTCTGTCTGTCTGTCTGTCTGTCTGTCTGTCACCTCGGGAATGAACAAGAGTGTGAAATTGTGACAGTTCACATACACTGTTAATAGCCAAAAAGTGTACATTATCCACGATTCACGTCTTACAATCAGGGCCACTGTAAATAGGAATATAATTTATATATATATGAATATGAATTATTGGTGATAGTTATTGGATGTACCCTCCAAATACATTATGTAGTGTCGAAATTAACAAAAGTTCTGTCAATTAGCCTTAAGTGATCTCTCTATGTATTCACACAGTATATAAACATATTGAAAGTTATGGACATGACATGTTTTTGTGTAGCAAAACACTCATATTTTGTACCTAATCAAAAAACCGTAGGCTGCCAAATGTTTCTGATGTTATGCGGATCACTGCTACATTCGTGATACGTGCTTGAAAACAACTTATATGTACTTTATATGTATGTAATGTGATTTTTTTAAATGCAGGCTCTTTTTGTTGTTGTGAAAAGAGTAGATGCTATTGGAATGTCATAGAAGCAGAATAAATTATGTTAGGCTACCACCATGTTATGTATAAAATATGTTAGCAAATTATGTTTGAGTATAGTGTCCCTGAATGCATCATCAATTGAAGACGCTCCTTATTACGTAGTTAAAAAACGATTTTGAAGGGCCAGTATCTACCAAAGTGATCTTGTGATTAGGAGTGGCTCCAAAATTTGGCAAAAAAATTAACAGGCGTAATTTATGAAACCCTGAAAGTGTCAAGATGTGACATCTAGATAACGAAAGTGTGAATGCAGAACATTGTTCTTCAAACTTTAAACAATTTTAAATACTGTATATTTTTTTCTTGGCAACAACATGTGCCTCATCTAAACATTTTATTACGAAACACATTCACATTCAATATTGCATTTGTGGAATACTAATTAAGCATAATAATCCACCGCTTTTCAAAAATCTCAGGGGGCTGCCATTTTCTCCTTTCGATTTTAGGGCGACAGAAACTGACGTCACAAGACCAACGTGCTCATTATACGAACATAACGGCGAGTTAAAGATGATTAAAAAAAAAAAAAAAGAGAACATAACGGCGAGCCCGTTTTCTGGTTCTGGTCACGTGACATTCGGAAAGCGAGCCGTTGAACTTTGACGTCACTTTCCGTTGACAGCAGGTGACCGTACAGCAGAAAATGGCAGCCCCCCTGAGATGGATATATAAAAATGGGTCGATTATTTTGCAGAATTAAACACAAACACAGAAATCGGTGTTTAGACTCGTGGGGGTATATTGAACACATCATTGTAAATGACACTTTGACTTGACTTCTGCTGTGCAGCGTTTTTGTTCCCGAACAGTTTTTCTGTGCCTCAGGAGAGTTTGTAATGTTAACTTTTAAATACTTTGTGTGTTCTCGCAGTGTGCGGAGCTGGCTTTTCTCTGATAAGAGATGCTTCAACTGCTCATGTAATTGCAAGCAGTGTGTTAGAACTGGTTTCAATGTGGATTTAGTTGCTATTTTGATGTCAGAGTGATACTCGGTGGCTTCTGTGTATGTGTACAAGATTGAGGGAAGCGGCAATCAATGGAGCAGAAGTTCCCATGATCAAACAGCAGATGGCGACAGTTGCACCAATGTTGCTGGTCTTCTGTGGCACGGAGCACCAATAACAGGTCAGTTCTGGGTCAGGTAAATGTCTTACACAGTCGTTCCGATCCAATATATTTGCAGCAATACTGCATTTGCAGCATTTGAGGACTAGGGCATTTTTTTAAAACCCTATTTGGATTTCTCATGGTCACAATAGATGAGTGGCTAGCTTGACTGTTTCACACTTGAGAAGCCTGGATTAAAATCTGTGTTTACAGTGGTTAACAGCTGTGTTCGAATGTTACTTTAAAAAAGGTTCCGTTTGAGACTTCTATGTAGCATGGGCTACTTCCGCTTTTGTCATTTTCAAATAAAATGGAGCAAAGGCATATCTTTTACATGAGTACTGGTTGAAATGAAGGTTTGGTTACAATTATGACATATAGGGGGCAGTCCTTTATTGCAGTCAGCACTCTTCCTGATTTGTCAGTGCAAAACTCCAGAGAAACTAGCTTTCACCTCCTGCAAAACATCCCGGAAAGTGAGTTTCAGGGATTAATAGAAGATTTTGAATGTTAAATTGCTATTGCCCGAAGATAGTTTGAACATTTTAAAAATTTCTTTGCGAGAAGAAAAAAAAACTGTCTGCAACCTTTGCCACCTTTTACGAACCCTTACGAAAACCCCAAATTTGGACTTAAACTACTATTTCACAAAACTTTACCCCCCCACCCTCCAAATCTGCCCCGCCGCTCCCACCCTTTACCCCTCCCAGAGGATCCAGCCTATGAAAGTGAAGATCATGTACGTCTTCAAATTCTTAAAGTTTGGCAAAAATCAAAATGGTTTTATAAGCCCAAGTACAAGGAATAAATAACCATTGCAATATAAATCACCTGGATATAAATCCCTCAGATGTATCACAGCCATAACATTTTAAATCACTTTCCCGAAAATTGACAAAAATGAAATTAGCCCACTCCAGTTCTCTGGGACTCAAATTACTTATGTTCTGGTTGTGGGAAATTTTGTTGAAATGCTAATGAATCTGGAATCATTACTGGGAGTCTAAAAACTTGACTTGGATTAAAATAATCGGGCATTTCGAGCTGATTTTTGAAACTGCAGATGCGCAGGAATGAAAGGAGTAACTAACTGGTCAACATGACCATGTGACCGCCTTGGACTTTCTCTCTTGCTTGCTACCCCTCCATTCACTGGATTACACGCCGGCTGGGCTCAGCATCATCATCTTCATCCTCATCGTCATCTCCATCGCCACCCACGACACTGCAGCATGGACACGGAGGACCAGGGCGTACACATGGAGCCTCTGTTACCCGCTGTAAGCATTCCTTTTTATCTTTTTCATGGAAACTATCAGGACGTCACAGCACAATTTGTAACCAAAGATGGAGAAAAGGAATGGGAAACTCATGGGTTTATTTTGTGCGATCTAATTCGAGTTGGGGAAATAAAGCTTTATTGTGAGACCATTTTTATTACATTTGCTCTATTATTGTTTTCATTTTAAAAAATATTTAATCCCAAATAAAGTATTCCTTTGTTAGCAGCACATATACAGTAGTTAGTTCCCCACCAGATGGTGCTGTTTTTTATAACAGGTATTTTATATTCAATACAGAACTATGATTCATTTTCAAAATTGTTATGCAAGAAACTTGTCTCATAATTTTCATACTGATTTCTTGAGACTAATTTCCGAGCCAGCCCCCCCCCTCCCCCACTGGCCAGTTAGAAATTCTCCTGAGCAATGATTAAGAAAGTAAAATTGCAACATTCAACTTTATGCACTGACATACAGGTTGCATAAATTCATATTTAAGTCCCCTGTGGGTCCATCTAGTTCATGAACTCTCGGTCAGTCCTGTTTGATCATTTGGATGGAGATTTGTTGTCATCAGCTCTTTGCCATTTACATCCAAGCAGCTTTTCACCCCCCCATTTAGCCCAAGGTTTTAAGCGCCTGGCTTTTTGGCTGCTGAGCTTCTGTGCGCTTTTCCGGAGCTGTATATTTGTGTGTGTGTATGGGGGAGCTTTGGCCACAAAACACAAGGTCATCTAAAAATAGCATTTTACAGTTAATCTGTCATGTGAAACTAAAATAAAATATGGCAAAAATGTAGCCTTAAACTAACAGTTGGATTGATTTGTCTTGCAGGTCACCTCCCCCTTTGGCTCATCTGTTGGCCGTAGAAGTTTGGTGAGTAAAATTGTCATCTTTTACCAGTTCTGTTTTAGCAAGAGCTAATGAGCTAATGAAGAGCATTGGTGTCATGGTGGTACAACTCTTCAAGGAATGGATATTTGAACAAAACCAGTATAGCAAAAGAAAAAGACAGATAATACAACGATACTCACAGGTATATGTTCTTTATCATCTGCAAAGAACGACGAATGTTGCATCTTACTGAAGAATGTGACTGTCTCCATGCGATGTATAGGAGTGTATTAGACTCCCCTCAGATGGCCAAGACGTCCATTGAATTGAAACAAAAATAAATAAATAAATACATCAATAAATAATGGACATTTTTACTGTCCTACGTTCTAGTGGTGCTGACCCCTCTTGCTATTTTCATTAGGGAGCTAATATGTGTACTATATTTTTATACAGGCAGTGTAATCTGTCTATGCACTATGCTTGTGCTTATTTGTAAACAGATTAACATTAAACTGTCCAGCCGGCCAGGCGACCGCAGCTTTAAAAAAAAAGTTCATTATGGAAATGCCTCGATAGTCAGCGGTGGGTCAAGATGGCTGGGGAGGAGGAGGGTGGGGATTGCTGACACCCAGCAGCAGGCTTTAAGGATTAAAAGTCCCTTCTGTATTAAGTTGCATTGATGAACAAACGTACAGTAAAGGGTGAGGAGAATGCGCTTAGGACAGTTTCGTGCCTCGATTGGATTGACAGGAAATGATGTTGTTCAATGAGTTTGGGGTTTCCAGAGTTATTTCCGCTGTTACACAGATCACGGAGCTTGATCACTTGGATTAGGAATGACGCTCTTTATTTCCCTCACATTGTTGAGTAAACATTCATTCATTTTCACCACGGCTATACGGATAACCCGGCAACCCATTTCTTGGTAGCTTGAACTCATCCGTATGGGTAGGTTTTACCCAGAAGTTCTGAGAATGATTAAGAAATGCTTGACATCAATTGTGCTGTTCATTTCCATGGCAGGGAAGAATTTCAAGGACCACATTTTCAGAGCGTTATCCCTATTTGTTTCCCATGTCTTGAATGTGTGTGATTATTAGAGGAGTGATGTTGAAGCTGTCGTGGACAGAGGAGGAACACGCTCACAGCAAAGCACCAACTTCGAACCAGAAGATCTTGAAGGTAGATCACAACACTTGGCTTCACAGTCTGATTACATTCAACACAATAATACCATGATTGAAATGCTCACTTTTAAGCTTTTCATTAAAAAAAAATAAATAAAAATAAATAAAGTTATTTAGGGTGTCTATAACGTGCAGGTGCGTATATCTGATATTGGTTCAATTTGGTTGCATAAGAGATTCCCGTCATGCTGTATCATCACATTGATAGCTTGAACAGTCCACTTCATTAAAATGCTCAGGAATGAACCCAAATCCGTCATTAATACGGGAATACATCATTTAATGGAGTATGACAAAGAGGCTGTGCTCATCCATGATGAATATCTGTAAAGCGCCTCAACGCCGGATCTACGTACACACAGACAAATGCACACACTCTTTTACACACACTCACGTGGATATTCCTCTCGATGGTCCTTCTAACCCCGCTGGAACGTGTTCCCAGGCCACAGGACTCTGTACATTGGGGTTCACGTCCCTTTGGGCAGCACCAGGCAGCGTAGCCATCGCAGGCACCGTCACCATGGTAACAAACACAAACGGAGGAGCAGGGAACGGGCCCTCCCATTGGTGGAGGGGCGAGAGTCTCCTTTCTATGGTACGAATCCCTTTTTTGTTACGATTTTATTTCACTTGTAGATGCACTTTATGGCCAAACGATATTGAGATTCATTCACTTTACTCAAAGAGAAATAATAATCAACTAATCCTAATATTCTTATTTGGCCACTGAATTAAAAAAGATACATTTGTTAAGACAGCTGAATGGAATTTAAGCCAGAATAGTACTGATCTTAATTAAAATAATAAGAAACAAATCATGTTAAATTTTAACTCCTTAGAGGTTTGATGGTTTGGTGTCCCATTACTTTTGTCCATATAATGTTCACGGGAGGCCCGTTTGGCCTTTGACCACTCACTGTCATTTTCATCATTTGTGTTCCCAGACACTCCCTCCCAGAGAGTTCAGTTCCTCCTCGGGATGGAAGACGAGGATGAGGAGCACATTCCCCACGACCTCTTTACGGAGATGGACGAGATTTTCGTGAGGGCGGGCGAGGATTCTGAATGGAAGGAGAGCGCCAGGTAGCGACGGCATTTTCTGTAGTCTTTATCCTCCCGATGGTCGCGGGAGAGCTCGACCTTGTCCCAGCTGGCTTTGGACGAGACCTCGAGTGCTCACCAGCCAATCACAGGGCACATGGAGACAAACCTTTCACACTCATACTCCTATCGATGGACAATTTTAAGTCTTCGGTGAAGCTAGCGTGCTTGCTTTTGAAATTTGGGAAGTAACAGGCCGAAACTGAACTCGAAAACTCTACACAGCAAGGCCAAGATTCGAACCCAATTGCATATAGATGCCTGAAGATGACACCAAAGCACTACTTTTACATTAGACAGGAGTTGGCCTCTTTACGACATGGAACGAAGCCTTTTTCAAAATTGCTTTCCATTGCGCATTTATCCACAAAACGGAGACATGCTGTATTTACAGCTCAGCCCTGACAAAAGGCAATACGTTGCTCCGCTAAATGAGTCGATGTGAGAGAAGGAGCTATCAAAGCGAGATGTGTGGCCCGCAAGCAGATGGCACGTCGCTTCCCCTCCCCGTCTGCCGGCGTCTTTTATCTGTGCGGCTGTCGTGGCAGGTGGCTGAAGTTTGAGGAGGACGTGGAGGACGGAGGAGAGCGATGGAGTAAACCCTATGTGGCCACGCTGTCGCTGCACAGCCTGTTCGAGCTGCGCAGCTGCATCATCAACGGCACCGTGCTGCTCGACATGAGGGCCGGCGCCATCGACGAAATCGCAGGTGTAGTACGGTCCACATACCCAACAGTTAAAGACACGGGCAGTCAACCCTCTGTCATTTATCAGGAAAAGGAATAGAAAGAAAAAAACTTAGATTTCACTTTGTCTCGTTTATGTAGATATGGTACTGGACCACCAAGAGCTGTACTCGCCACTGGGCGAGGGGCTCCGTAAGAAAGTGCGTGAAGCGCTGTTGAAGCGACACCATCACCAGAGCCAGAAGAAGCTGACCAATCGCTTGCCCATTGTGCGCTCGCTCGCAGACATGGGCCGTCGGACGTCAGACGTCCACCTGGACAAGAATGGTGAGGACGACACTCGACTCTTGACGCCTCTTCCCGTCTGCCACAGATTAGTCGATTGAAACACTCCCCGGAGATTCGACTCTCTGCATCATCCAGATCGATTTTCAGGGAGACTAATCGGTTCTTTCTGTCTTATCCAGGTCAGATGACCTCTTCCCAGTTTCATTTAGCAGGTCCAGATGGAAAAGGGGACCTCACCAGAGAAAATAGCTCTGTGGACTTGAGCAAGGTACAGTACTCTTAGGACAGTTCCGCTGTAATGATAAAGTCATGCACATGGGGTCATTGCATCCCACTGTGGGGAATCAGCCCACGCTTTCAGCACAGGAAATGAGTTCATCTCGCTTGAAATGAACTGTAAAACTGACACACAAAACGAAAAATATAAGTGAACATTGAAACACCAAAGTGGTCAAACAAATCATATAATTTCACCTAAAAATAGTCCACTCTCTTTAATAAGGTAACGAATGTATAATGTGAGAGGCTAACAGAAATTAGCGTGGATGTTACAGTTAAAAGAACCCTTCAAACAACCGCTACTCTAAAAATCAAACTATTAGTTGAATTGAGCAACTGAAAATGTTAGTTACGTTTTTTACCTTGAAATTTTGAGTCTACCCAAGGTTGTTGTTTTTTTTCATGCACCTTCTGATGACTGTATTCTGCTCTAATAGGACGTTGAGAGGTCAAGGACCCCACGTTTATTATTATAACTTTCCGTATTATAATTTTAATGCATTTGTGGCTTGTCCATGGTAGCATGGAATATATATTTAGTATGGATTAGGATTAGAACCAAATAGACATTGACGGAAATGAATGCACAACAGAAGCCCACACAGGAAAGACAAAGATAAAAAAAAAAAAAATCCCTGTTAAAACCTTATCCACATAATGTACAGTACATGAGTGTGTCCTTTACACTAGGTCAGGGTTTGGTCATAATGTGCTTGTCTATACATGAAGTTTATCCTTGCATGAAGCAATCATCCTTCTCATCATTAAATTTCTTGCATAATAGTCCACAATGCATTACAAAACATTCGAGATTGTTTTGCTGCTTTATGAGCGGAACAAGCAACACTCGAGTTACTGCTTGTTACTGCCACATAATTCTCGCTGAAAAATCAACACCTTCACTCTGCCAACATTTGTTGTTATTTCCAAGGCATTGAAAACTAGACAGCAGATTATTAAAAAAAAAAAAAAAAAAAAACATCTTAATGGTGCTCTTGTGAAAGAAACCATGTTTGTGATATTAAGTACACGCATCCTCAAAGAACATATCTTGATAGATGGTCGAAAATAGCTGTTTATGCGCAACGTGAGGATTAACTCTCAAAATGTTAGACTCATATGGAACGCCGTTTTAGTGTGATTTGTCACTAATCTTCAACGATGTTCTATTTTAAGCCACATCATCAGAGCATTTTAGTGTGATTCTGGGTTTTGAAAGGCATACCCCAATTCCAATGAAGTTGGGATGCTGTGTAAAGCGTAAATAAAAGCAGAATGCAATGATTTGCAATCTATATCTAATTCAAGACACCACAAAGCCGGGGTATTTCATGTTTAATTCAACACTGCCCTAATGTCACTTAGCAAGCCACCGGCAAGGGAAGGATATGCTTCGAAAAACTGCACAAACAAAGCTGTCAAGCTAAATAAAGAAGAGGACGTGCACAGTGCCTTGTGGGACACCTTGTATAATTGCTGAGCATATCTTTCCCATCACCGATGGATCAATGTTCTTTAAATAAAGGAGAAGAAATTTAAAGTGGCCCTTTAATCTTTCTGAATTTGGCCTTTGGTAGGACGACTTTGGACAAGCCTTTCTCGACTGTTGCTCCTTTTTCAGATGGACCTTCATTTTATGAAGAAGATCCCACCGGGCGCTGAGGCGTGCAACGTGTTAATAGGAGAGTTGGACTTTCTCAACAAGCCCGTGGTGGCTTTTGTGCGTCTCTCACCAGCCGTTCTTCTTAGCGGACTGGCTGAGGTCCCCATTGCCACGAGGTTAGCATCTTAAAAACATCACCGGAACCCCATCTGATTTCCAGTCAATGCGATGGGTTTTTTTTCCCTCGGATGTTAGGTTTCTGTTTATTCTCCTGGGACCCGTTGGAAGAGACCCTCAGTATCATGAGATCGGCAGGTCCATCGCTACGCTCATGACAGACGAGGTAGGCAAGCCGATGGAATCCGCACGCCATGTTTGCATGAATTCACAGTTGAGCAGAACTCAACAAGCTCCCAAAGTGATGGAACATTTCTCAGTATGACGCGCAGCTCAGAGCTTTTATGACAAGCTTTTTGGGGATTAGTCATCCCATTCTGCCTAGGATTTAGGCTGTTGTCCATCATCAGAGAGGAAAATATGGCTTTGACGGACTCGAAACCCTTTAATTCTTGACTGGTTGTAAAAAAAAAAAAAAAAAAAAAAAAAAAGGGTATTTATAAGGGCATGAGACGTTTTGGTAAATGAACTGGAGCGGAGGTCAATAAAGGATCACAGATGACATGTGCAGTACTGTCCACTTAACTCATTCTGTACCAGCCAATTCTGGACCAAGTCTGAAAAGACGTTTAAAGACGTCTTTGGGAGTGAATGAGTTTTAACAAGACGAGCTGTGACAAGAAATAAATGAGACTCGACTCACTCCCACTTGTTGCCTGACATCTCATCGCCATTCTGCTGCATTGTCCATTGACACACTGGTCTTGATTTACCGGTGTGGCCAATTGATGCTTATCTGTTTCATAATTAATGTGAGAAATCGGTAATGTGATCAATGTCTTCTCGAAAAGGAAGCACAGATTGAGAGAAGTGAATGAAATTGGAGCATAATAATGTAGGACAATGACATGTAGTTCATAACCTCTCGCCATTGGATATTTTTATTTTATTTTTTTTAGGTTTTCCACGATGTCGCATATAAAGCGAAGGACCGAAATGATCTGATTGCCGGGATTGACGAATTTCTCGACCAAGTGACTGTCTTGCCCCCAGGAGAGTGGGATCCATCCATTAGAATAGAACCACCCAAGAATGTACCTTCTCAGGTAAGTGTTTTTTTTTTTGGGGGGGGTGTTGTTTCCAATAAGCAATATGGATGTTGAGCTGGAAACATTTTCGAGCTCCTATGAACGCAGCGGATGTGTTTGTTGAACAGGAGAAGAGGAAGAAAAATACCAATCTCCCGAACGACATAGCCGAGTCTAACGAAGAGGAGCATGAAGGCCACGGAGGTCCTGAACTGCAGCGCACGGGGAAGTAAGTCAGTCAAGGACAGCTCATCTTGCTGGATTGTAGCTTTCTTTTTTTTTTCGACTCAAAATATCACAGCGTTCGAGAAACATTTACTCGCATTTCATTATCAGCATGTTTTTTTTTTTCCCCAGATGGTTTGGTGGTCTCATTCTCGACATCAAGCGCAAAGCCCCCCACTACCTGTCCGACTACACGGATGCATTCAGTTTGCAGTGTGTGGCCTCTTTCCTGTTCCTCTATTGTGCCTGCATGTCCCCCGTCATCACCTTTGGAGGACTTCTGGGCGAGGCGACTGAAGGACGCATAGTAAAGCACTCGCTATTTTGATCTCTGTGTACTACGATGATACGCAGCGCTATGGATGGGCAGTTGACCACACGTCTTTCATCGACTTTTGTGTTTGATTTAAAAAAAATGTTATTCTGACACGTCACTGTCAAACATGTACTTCCAATTAAGTATTGGCAAAACCAGTTGTCAATTTTATGCTAAACGGAGTTGTTGGCATATGTTGTAATGTAAGTAATAAGGTAACTTGTTCTTTCACTTTTCAAGGCGATTGTGGAAACACTGTTTGTATTTTATAACTTCCGTGAAACTGTCTTTTTTCTTTTCCCAAGAGTGCAATTGAGTCGCTGTTTGGTGCCTCTTTGACGGGAATCGCCTACTCCTTGTTTGCCGGGCAGCCGCTCACCATTCTGGGCAGCACTGGGCCAGTGCTTGTCTTTGAAAAGATACTCTTCAAATTCTGCAAGTACGTTTGGATTCACCTTAATACGCACGCCGTGTTTGCCTTTTCACTTCTGAGCCACAAAATGAGATTTTGGCCCCTTTGTGCCGGCAGGGAGTACGGCCTGTCCTATCTGTCGCTGAGGACCTGCATCGGCTTGTGGACGGCGTTCCTTTGCATCGTGCTGGTGGCCACAGACGCCAGCGCCCTGGTGTGCTACATCACTCGTTTTACGGAGGAAGCCTTCGCCTCGCTCATCTGCATCATCTTCATTTACGAGGCCTTGGAGAAACTGGTCTACTTGGGAGACTACTATCCCTTTAACAAGAACAACAACCTGGACAAGCTCTCCTTGTACTCGTAGGTGGACAGCTACTCTCACACAAACTCTCACATCCAAACAAAAGAACAGAAGAACAGTGTCATTATGGGGGAAACTTCTTGGAGGATTTGGAAATCCGGCACAGATGTGGGATTATTTTGACGCCCAGATGTTTACGTGCGTCCACAGATGTTCATGCGTTGAGCCTTCTGACCCCACCAACGGCACCCTGAAGTACTGGGAGTTCAATAACATCACTGTGTCTGAGATCTACTGGGAAGCGTTGGAGGTCAAGGTACAAAAAAAAAAAAAAAAAAAAAGATGCTGAAGTTACAAATTGCGCATCTCTATTTTTTTCCACCTTAAAGTGGCATGCTCTCCCAGATTGAGAACAGAGGAGATTAAGGGCATGTGGGCAGGATTATATTGGATTATTCACTGCAAATCACCACCAAATAGGGTCTTTTTTTTTATTTTTTTATACCGTTTCCCGCGGACATGCCGGCACGTGGAAGCTTCCAAATCATTGCTAATCATAACATCCTCCCTGATCTGCATTTCCTTTTGCAGGATTGCATTGAAAAGCGCGGCGAGTTCGTGGGCAGCGCCTGCGGGCCCAACGGACCTTACGTCCCCGACGTTCTCTTCTGGTGCGTCATTCTCTTCTTTTCCACCGTCCTCATGTCGTCCTTCCTTAAGGAGTTCCGGTTCAGCAGTTACTTCCCCACAAAGGTATAACACGTCATGGAGGGTCAAAAATGAATTCTTCATTGCTTTGAACACATTATGAGAGATGTTGCAACGATGCTTCCTGGTGGATTCTTGCTAGTACTACAACACCCGATCCAGTTGTCCCCAAAATAAAAGAAACACATCATTTCAGATGGAGCTCGCCGTTATGCTGATCGTAGTTGTTGTAATTCAAGGGAGCCCTGTGCTTGCTTCTCTTCAGCTATGATATGTGTACAAGATGTGTCTAAGTGACATGTATGATATATTTTCTTGTTTGTGAAAATATTCTCCGATCAGGTGAGGTCCATCGTTAGTGACTTTGCTGTTTTCATCACCATCTTCACCATGGTCCTGATTGACTACTCCTTAGGGATCCCCTCTCCAAAACTGAAAGTTCCAAGTGTGTTTAAGGTCAGTCAGGGCTGGTTACTCAGACCACCCGAGATGTTTGCGCTGCCTCACGTCCAACCGATGTTCACGATTCAAGCCAACCAGAGATGATCGAGGCTGGTTCATCAACCCACTGGGGCCAAACCCCTGGTGGACGGTCGTCATCACGCTGTTTCCAGCTCTGCTGTGCACCATTCTAATCTTCATGGACCAGCAGATTACAGCCGTCATCATAAACAGGAAGGAGCACAAGCTTAAGGTACTTCGCTACCTTTGCTGCTGATTACATTACGTGTTTCGCTTGCACGCATCCGCAAAAAATGAAGCGGTGGTGCACATATGCAGACAATTGGGTGCTTGCACGCATCCGCAGAAAATTGAAGCAGTGGTGCACATATGCAGACAATTGGGACAAATCTGAGCATTCTCGCATACTGTGTTAAAATCAAAGTGTGAGTTAGAGAAGCGAAAAGCCAGTTAAGAGTTCGGAATTTTTTTTTTTGACGTGTGCCTTGTAGAAAGGCTGCGGCTACCACCTGGATCTGTTCATGGTGGGGGTGATGCTCGGCGTCTGCTCGCTGATGGGCCTGCCGTGGTTCGTGGCGGCCACCGTCCTCTCCATCACGCACGTCAACAGCCTCAAGCTCGAGTCGCGGTGCTCAGCACCCGGCGAGCAGCCCAAGTTCCTGGGCATCAGGGAGCAGCGCTTCACCGGCCTCATGATCTTCGTCCTCATGGGCTGCTCTGTCTTCATGACGTCCGTGCTCAAGGTCGCAGAGACATTTTCTTGACAATAATATGGGTTAGGCAGAATTTTTCACTTCCCTTACCTTCAGTATTTAGAAGTATGTATTCCTAACATTCATATTTACAAAAAAAACAAAACAAAACATATCACGCATTCATCTTTAATTATGATAATATGATTTTTATTTTTTTGGGGTGGGGGCACATCTCTTGTATTGGATGAAACCAAATTGTGTAGGTGTACCTCGAGCAGTGTTCCCTGACTGTTCGTAATGTGTTTTTGATGTCCTTCAGTTCATTCCCATGCCCGTGTTGTACGGCGTGTTTCTCTATATGGGCGCGTCGTCCCTCCGAGGAATACAGGTACAGCCACCAATTTGACAAACATTTCACATCTACGCTAGTCACTCTGAACTTGCTACAGTGAAACTCCTCTACAACGAGATCGTGTTTGCAGCAAGAAATTTTTTACAACAGGGGACTTTAAACTGTAGCAAATTTTTATCTCGGACGTAAACACGAACACACACAAAAACCGTATTTGTGTACTTTTAAATTTTTATTCCAATAGTGCATAAGTATGAGCATACACTTATTTGACACTTCATATTGCTAGCGTAGAAAGAAAAAAAGGGAAAGAAATTGCGAAATTTACGATCAGCATTTACTTGCACTTACATCAATTACTTGCATAATGTCTTTTATTTTGCTTCCTCCATCTTTCATTTTTATTACCTTTATCCTGTCTTCAAGTGTTAATCTTTTCTTTTCTTAATTCCTTGGTATGCAAAGATCCGTTTTGTCGCCATTTTAGCAATGCAACGTTCGTCCTGCATCTGAAACAAATACTGGCTGTACTACTGCGCCTGTGCAAACCACTGTGGTGGTTGCTGTTGCCGTTTCCGAACAAAGCAGTAGAGGTCACTGCGGCATGCTGAGTTTGGATTAGAAGAGCAGAGAAAAAAGATTTTGAGTAACGGAAGAGGGGGACTTTTCGTTGTAGGGGGAGCAGAAAAGTGAGATTTTGTGTAACGGAAGAGGGAGACTTTTGGTTGTCGGGGGAGCAGAAAAGTGGGAATGGCTTTCATGCATGAAATTTTTTTTCACACTAGGGGGTATTTTCGCCCATGTAGGTTTCGTTATAGAGGAGTTTCACTGTAGTTTCCAGGATTTTGTTCCTCTTCTTTGTTTTTTTTTTTAAATTTATCAATAACGTCGGCTCAGTGTATACATCTAAATGGGTCAATAAGTTGTTCGTTGGCCAGTGGGCTACCTGTCCTGGTTGCGTATCCTCACACAGCTTGTTGTGCTCTCCAGTTCTTTGACCGTCTCACACTGTTCGGCATGCCAGCCAAGCACCAGCCAGATTTCATCTACCTGCGTCACGTACCCCTGAGGAAGGTGCATCTGTTCACTTTCATCCAGCTCAGCTGTTTGATTCTTCTCTGGGTCATCAAGACTTCCAAGGCCGCCATCGTCTTCCCCATGATGGTGAGCCCTCGACGCAGCTCACGTTGACTCATCTTTGTCTGATGTCGTCACGCGTTCATCGGCATAGGTCTCAAACCCTGGTCCTGCATCTTTTCGATGTTTGCCTCCTCCAACACACCCGATTCAAATGATCAGCTCAGCAGCAAGCAAGCAGTCTACACCATCTAAGCACTTCCTGTCAAACATTTTAACAGTTTCCCTCGGCGCAGCGCCATCTTGAGCATCTTTATGTTGTTCCCTCAGGTGCTGGCTCTGGTGTTCATCAGGAAACTGTTGGACTTCATCTTCTCAAAGAGAGAGCTGAGCTGGTTGGACGACCTCATGCCAGAGAGCAAGAAAAAGAAGCTGGAGGACGCCGAGGAGGTTGCGGCATTTGCTTCGTTTTCCTGCGCGCCGAATGCGAATTGTTTCACTCCTCAAACGGGTTCTATTCTTTCAATCTTTAGGAGGAAGAGCAGAGTATCCTAGCTGAGGACGAAGGCGCAGTGCAGGTGCCCTTGGAGGAATGCAAGTAAGCATTATCTGCCTGTTACACGTCATCTGTTTATGTCTAACTATTCGGGATTTATGGAATCTTATCGCACTCGACGTATCGAGACGGGTATGGAATTGTCTTTTACTGGGTAGTGATACACCCCCCCTAATGATTACCCCCCGTGTCGCTTCATCCCTCGTCTTCCGCAGAGGGTTACCCATCATCAACATCACGGACGAGATGTCCAAAGGTTCTTTTGGCAACACTTGGAACGCCACAAGCTAGGACGTTTGCAAAGACATCAACGCATGTTACGGTAAGCGCTTCAGAATGGCGCGTCGAGCTTCAGTTATTCCTTGACTGTATGTCATCTGAAAATTTAAACTTGTGTGTTCCAACACATGGGAAAACATTTCATTTATGAATACTAACACCCCAAATTCACCACTTCCAGTTCATGTGTGAACATAAAACAACGAGAAGTACAGTTCTTCAAAATTTCCAATGCACTTTTTACATGTTAATTAAGCATCTTATTTCCTACGCTGTCAGGTGAACATTTTGGAATGGCGCGTCGAGCTTCAGTTATTCCTCGGCTGTATGTCATCTGAAAAATTAAACTTGTGTGTTCCAACACACGGAAAAACATTTCATTTATGAATACTAACACCCCAAATCCCAAATTCACCACTTCCAGTTCACGTGTGAACATAAAACAATGAGAAGTACAGTTCCTCAAAATTTCCAATGCACTTTTTACATGTTAATTCAGCATCTTATTTCCTACGCTGTCAGGTGAACATTTTGCCAGTCCCAGCCCCCCACACATCATTCAAAAGTGTCATAAGGAAAAACTAAGTATGGCAACTACTACTGTGTCAGTGTTGTTTTTTTTTTTTTTATAATTATAAACCTATCATACATGTAACGTGTGTCATTGGATAACCGTCTGAAGCCATGTGAGGAAGGCTCATTGTCTCATGTTTAACACTTTGTCGAGGTCAAGCCGGCCTTATTAATCGAGCACTTTGTATTTCTTTTGTAATATGCTTCTGTTGTTTGCTTCTAGTTGTCTTCAGATTTATTGATTAAAAGGGAGAAAGCCGTCGTGCAATAACAAAGTGATGACATTGGTTACCGTCCGTGTGCGCACACGATTGTAACTTGTCATAACTTCTCATCCCTAAATGATATTTTGTGTTGTTTACTTGATATATTTGCAACATTGATCCAATAATTTCATCCCGAAGAATGTAAATAATCCTTTGGTATAGTTTCATGTTGCTGTACGGCTTTTGTGTCACAATTGTGCAATTTAAATCACTGATCGTCAGCTGTCTGCACTTGTTACCATCCATAAACTATTGAACAAGCAAAACTCGATAATATTTGGTGTCATTTTTGCCGGATACATTTGAGTGCATGGTTGTTGGTTTTTGTGGACTTTTGAAAGGATTCAGCATTGAAGCATCGGTAAGTTTTATGAAACGCCAACTCACCAGGCTCCGCCGGCCGTTCGTGGCTGATCACGTGACGACCTCATCCCATTTCATAATGGTTGTGAGTTTTGTCTCGGATCCAGTTGAAGGTCACACAAGTAGCACCAAAGTGGTACTCGTCGTGGAATTAACATACTGGTACATGATGTTGCAACGCAAAAATGACTTTTCGTACAGAACTGTGAGGTGGATATGCTAACCACTAGTGCACTGTGCCGCCAGGACCATAACATTCATTC